ATAACCATGGGTGGGTTAGGGGTAAGTGGGGAACAGTGGGGTGGGCAAGGCGATAGTGGGGATGGGGGGGCGGGCGGGGGAGGTGGGCGCTTGCAGAACGGAGGGAGGGGGGGGGGATCGCGGGCGTGAGGGGGGGGGAAGGTGGGGCAATGGTGGGCGGTGGGGTGAAGGTGAGGGCAGTACTAGGGGGGGGCGGCGTGAAGGGGGAGGCGAGGGGGGCCGTGCCCCCGGAGGAGCCCCGATTTCGGCGGGCGGGGGGCGAACGTGGGCGGCTTGGGGGAGACGGATGGCCACGGGACTAAGAGGGGGTGGGATTGCTTGGGTCAGGGAGGCGAGGCGGGGGCGTGAGGGCCACAGGGGGAACTACGGGGGCTGCGAAGGGGTCACGGAACGAGTGAGGGTGGCCAGGCCGAGGGGGAGGGGGGGGGTGTAGAAGGAGACGCGGGGATAGGTGGGCGAGGGGGGGGGGGAGTGGAGGAGGTGGGGAAAGGGAGACGCGGGGAGTGGGCGAGGATGCGTACATAGTGAGAGGCGGCGGGCGGGAGGTGGGGGTGCGGGGGGTTGGAGAGACGGTGGGAGCCCCCCCTTTGGGGGTGGGAGTGGACCGGGTGACCGTGAGGGGGGGGGGCGGGGTTGTGAGGGTTATGTGCGGGAAGAGGATTGGAGGGGTAAGTGGCTGGGGCATTTGTTCGGTTGGGGAGGGGTCGGGGTAGGGGATTGGATGACACACCGGAATATGAGGCGTGGGGCAGATGGGGCATCGGGAGCGGTACGCTCAGAAGGGGGGGGAGTATTAAAGGGGGGGCCGGCCGGACCGGGATGCAGGAGACGGGTGAATTAAGGGCGGGCCTCCGCGGGGGCTAGGGGTAGGGGCCGGCGCGCGACTCGAGTGGGGGATGGGGGGGAGGGCCGGCAGGGGGGCAGGGGTGGGCGGGCGGAGCGGGGGGGGAGGAGCTGGGGAGGCCGCAGGGTGGATGGGCAGGTAAGCAGGGTCAGCGGCGGGCAAGCGGAGGGATGGAATGGGCTGTGGCGGGGTGGGGGGTGGAAGGGACGATGGGGGGGGGCGCGGCAGGGGGGGTGGAGGCTGCACCCGGGGACACCGGGCTGAGCAGGGGTGGGGCGGGTGGGGGGGAGGGGATGGGGTGGAGCAAGGGGCGGGAACGGTCACGCGGTATCACAGGGGCAGGTGGGGATTCCCCGGGGGCGAGAGGGCGGAGGCGGCGTACGCGGGGAGCATGAAGGATGCTCAAATCCCAGCGGGGGCAGGGAGGCAGGTGCACAGGCGTCATGGACAGGGGGGGCCACGCGGGAGGGGCCTGTCCGGGGATGGAGGAGGAGTTGAGCAGGGAGAGAGGCAGTGGGCTGGGGGTACCAGGGGACCCGGCGGGAGGGTAGGTCGGGGAGCTACTCGGGGGGTCGGAGAGGGCGGCGGGGCGGTGCGGCCAGGGGGGGCGGTGGGAGCGGGGGTCGGTTCTAACTAAATAACAACACAAAACCAAAACCACAACCAACGGAGGGCGCAGGGGATAGGTGGGAGCGGGGGGGTGGAAGGGAACAGAAGTCCAAGGGCATGATAGGGGGCAGGCGATAGCCGCTGTCGGGTGGCGGGGCGGGACCTGGATGGTGCGGGGGGGAGAGGAAGTGGGTAGGATAATCGGGACGGGGGGCGCACCGGGGGGCCGGAAAAGGTGGGGCGTACGGCGGGTTATCGGGGGGGGGAGAGGGGCACGCCGTGAACGCCGGGAGAGTCTGGGAGGAGGCGGAGCCGCTCGCCCTAGTGGCGGGTGGGCGGGGGCCGGGGCCGGGAGCGGACGGGTACAATCTGGAGGGGGCGGGAGCAGGGTCGGGAATCAGGGGGCCGAGGGGGGGGCAAGGGAGGCCGCTGGGGGAGGGAGAGGGGGGAGGGGTGGCCATAGGGGGGCGGGACAAAGGTCGGGGAAGGGTGAGGAGGAGGGGGGGGTGGGGACGGTGGGACAGGGGGGGGGGGGGGCGAAGGGTAACAGGGGGCGGGGGGGACGATAGCGTGGGTTGACGGGGAGGAGGGGGGGGGGGGGGGGTTGCGCGGCACTGGGGCAGGAGATGGATATTAGGAGCAGGGAGCGAGTGTGATAGGGGGGGGGGGTAAGGGAGGGAGGGCGGGGGGCAGGGGGGGACGGGGCACTCCCGTGGACACCAACGGGGGAAGGGAGTGAGGAGGAGGGGATTTGGGGAGGGGGGGTAGGGTGTTAACAATAGGTCGTGCGCGGAGGGGCGACCTGGGGGCTGGGGGGAGAGGGGGGGGGAGGAGGGCGGGGCTAATGAGGTGGGCGAGGGAAAGGGCGGCCGCCTGGGCGGGCGAGCCTAAGGGAAATAGCGGGGAAGAGGATGAAGAGCGGAGGCGGCCGTGAGAGGGTCCCAAAATTTACACCTCACCCCAAACAAGGGGAATGGGGGCGAGGGGGCCCGGCGCAGAGGGGGGAGTGGGTAACCGGGAGAGAAGTGAGAGCCCGGTACGGGCGGGCAGGCGGAGGAGGGGGCATGGGGGAGAGTACAATGGGGGGGCGGCGGGGACGGGGGGGTCATGCGGGGGCTCGCTACGGGCTGGGGGGCGGGTCAAAGACGGGGGGGGGGGGGAGGGTAGGAGCGTGGAACGGGGGAGGGGCGGCAGCGCCTTATCGTGGGTGAGCGGAACGAATAGTGTGGAGGGGGGTGGCACGCGGGGGGGCAAGGGGGGGGCGGGAGGGCGGGGGAGGGGTAGACGGAGGAAGCGGGAAGTGGGTGAGGGAGGGGGGCACGGCGGGAGGGGGGGGGGAGGGTGGGAGGGGAGGGAGTGGGGTGCGTGGCGGGGAGAGAACGAGGCGGGACTGGGGGGGGGGGGGGCGGAGGTAGGGAACGGGGAGGGGCGGGGGGCCAAAAGAGGGGGGGCGGGCGGGGGGTGGGCGGAGGGGGCGGGGGGGGGGAGGGGCGGGGGGGGGGGGGGGGGAGTGAGGAGCGGGGGGGGGGGGGGGCGGGGGGGGCGAGGCAAAATCGGGGTGTCCCGGAGGGGGAGGGGACACGGCCCAAAGAAGAGGGGGGGATACGGAGGGGGCACGGGGGGAGGGGGGGGGGGTGGGGCGAGGCGGGGGTGGTCGCATAACGGGGGGCCGGGGGCGAGGGCGGTTGAGGGGACGGGGGGCGGCGGGGGGTGGGGATGGGGGGGGGGGGGCGCGGAAGGACAGGAAAGGAGAGGGCAGGAGGCCGGGGCGGCGGGGTGCAGCGGGGGGGGGCGGGGGTGTGGGGGCGGGGTACGGTGGGGGGGAGGGAGGAGGGGGGGGGGGGGGGGGGGGGGGGGGCGGGGGGGGCGGGGGCGGGGCTGGAGGGACGAGGCGGCAATGTGTGTGAGGCGGGGGGGCGAGGAGGTGGGGGTGGGAACGCGGAGAGGGAGGGGCGGCGGGGGGGTGGGGGTGGATGCGTGGAAGGGGAGGGGAGGGTGAGGAGGGAGGAGAGCGGGGGGTGAAGGAAGGGAGGGGCGCGGCGGGGGGGCGGAGGCGGGGGTGGCGGGGGAGTGGTCGATGTAACCACGCCCATACCCGAGGGGGGGGGGAGGGGGGGGGGGGGGGGCGGCGGGGGGGGGGGGGGGGGGGGGGGGGGGGCGGGGGGGGGGGGGGCGGGCGGGGGGGCGGGGGGGGGGGCGGGGAGGGGGGGGGCGGGGGGGGGGGGGGGGCGGGGGGGGGGGGGGGGGGGGGGGGGGGGGGGGCGGGGGTGGGGGGGGGGGGGGGGGGGGGGGGGGGGGGGGGGGGGGGGGGCGGGGGGGGGGGGGGGGCGGGGGGGGGCGGGGGGGGGGGGGGGGGGGGGGGGGGGGGGGGGGGGCGGGGGGGGGGGGGGGGGGGGCGGGGGGGGGGGGGGGGGGGGGGGGGGGGGGGGGGCGGGGGGGGGGGGGGGGGGGCGGGGGGGGCGGGGGGGAGGGGGGGGGGGGGGGGGGGGGGGGGGGGGGGGGGGGGGGGGGGGGGGGGGGGAGGGGGGGGGGGGGGGGGGGGGAGGGGGGGGGGGGGGGGGGGGGGGGGGGGGGGGGGGGGGGGGGGGGGGGGGCGGGGGAGGGGGGGGGGGGGGGCGGCGGGGGGGGGGGGGGCGGGGGGGGGGGGGGGGGGGGCGGGGGGGGGGGGGGCGGGGGGGGGGGGGGGGTGGGGGGGGGGCGGGAGGGGGGGGGGGGGGGGGCGGGGGGGGGGGGGGGGGGGGGGGGGGGGGGGCGGGGGGGGGGGGGGGGGGGGGGGGGGGGGGCGGGAGGGGGGGGGGGGAGGGGGGGGGGGGGGGGGGGGGGGGGGGGCGGAGGGGGGGGGGGGGGGGAGGGGGGGGGGGGGGGGGGGGGGGAGGGGGGGGGGGAGGGGGGGGGGGGGGGGGGGTGGGGGGGGGGGGGGGGGGGGGGGCGGGGGGGGGAGAGAGGGTAGAGAGGGGGCGGGGGAGGGGGGGGGCGCTGGGGGGGGGGGGGTGCGACAATGGGGGGGGGCCCAGGCCACGGAGGGTCGGGGGGGGGTAGGCGGGGGGGTGTCGGACACAGGGCTGGTGCGGAAATGGGTGGGCACGGTGGAGGGACCGGGGGGATGCGGGGGATCTCTCCTCGAGGTGGAGGCAGCGGGGAGCGGGAAAGGGGCAGGGACGGCGGGGCGGGGCGAGGATGGAACGAGGGGGGATGCAGCGGGGGGGGGGGGGGGGGGAAGGGATGGATGGGACGGGAACGCGGCGACTGGGGGGTCGGCATCGGCGGCAGGAGGATAAAGACAGGGGGAATAAGCGGGGCGCGGGGGGGAGGGGTGTGCCGGGGCGGGAGGGGGAGAGCGCGGGGAAAATAAGGACGCGTGGTGGCGCAGGGGCGGGTGGGCATAGGGAGGTAGGGGGCAGCTAGGGTAGGCGGGGGGCGGGATTGATGGGGAAGGGGGAGCGGGGTGGGCCGAATGGGTCCGAAGAGGCGGACTGGGGCGGTGGCGGGGGGGAGCTAGGGGGAGGGGGGGGGGTCGGGGGGGGGTGGTGAGGGCTGAAAACGGCGCTGAATCCCGGGGTGGAGGGGGTCGGGTAAGGGGTCGGGGGGCCGAGGGGAAAACGGGGGCGGGGGGATGGCGCGGGGCCGGGGGGGTGTCAGTCTGGGGGAGGGGGTGGTAGAAAACGGGGGATTGAACGGGGTGGGGGGGTGAAGAAGGCCGTACAGACGGGTGGTGAGCGCGACCGGGCGGGGGGGACCACGTCGCGGTCCTAGCGCTGGGTGGGTGCCCCCCGGGGATGGGCGAGACGGAATCGAGGAGGTGGAGCCGTAGGGGGGCAGCAGGGGGTACGGGTGTCCGGGGCAAAGAGGAAGGGGCCCAGGGGCGGGGGACGCGCTTCGATGTGGTCTATCGTGGTGGGGCGGGTTAGGAGGCGAGGCCCAGGGAGGGCGGCACGGGTGGGGGGGGGATCCGGAGGCTAGGGAGAGGGGAAGCGGGAGAGAGGGCGGGGACGGGGTGGTTAACGGCGGGGTGAAGGGGAGCAGGCCGGATCTGAGGGGCGAGGGGCCGGGGGGTGAGGTGGGGAAAGGGGGGGCGTAGAGAAGGGGTGACGGGAGGCGTTGGGGAGTCGGGGGCGGAGCCGGACAGGGAAGAGAAGGAGGGGGGGGTCAGGCGGGCGGGCGATTGTGTAGAAGGGGACGGCGGCAAGGGGGGGGCGCCGGGGGGGGGGGGGGGGCGGGGTTGGAAAGTGGAGCGGACGGGGAAAAGTCCCCGACGGGAGGACCGAAGGGGGAAAGCGGGCGCGGTGGAGGGGGGGGGGAGCGGGGGGGGCGCCGGGTGGTCGGGCGAGACATGGAGGGCGGAGGGGATGAGCGGGGGGGGGCGCGGATAGCACGGGGAGCAGGTGGTGGGGGGAACGAACCGGAGTCGGGCGCGGCGCAGACTTGGGCGGGCGGGGAAGTGGGCGGGGCGTAGGGGGGTGACTGGGAGGAGTGAGAATAGAGGAGTGGCGGGTGGCGGGGACGGGAGGGAGGGATGAGTTATCAAGTCGGGGAGGGAGGCAGGTCTAGCTGGGCGGTGGGGCGGGGGGGGGCGTGCGCGGGTTCTGTGCGGTTTTGAATTCCCGTTTTATTCGATCCTTGTTTGTATTTTCAACGAGTTTGGAGGCGCTAATAATCCAATGAAATTGCCACATGTGCGGAGTGTTTACTATTATTGGTGTGCCGCTTTGAATCCTTAAAGTGCAAAGTGTTGTACAGAATACAACCAACCATTTTTTTGACCCATTGTCTCTTGATAAACGATAGGATATCGAGGTGTGTTGTTGCTTAATCTATAATTGGTAGCTGCATACATGCACCTTGTTGGGCGCATAGTTGAGGGATGGCTAGTTTTTCCATTTCGTGGTTGCCTTTTCTGCTTTAGTGTATCAAGGAGTCATGACGTTGAGTCTGTTGAGTGCATTGTGCTGCTCGGTTTGTTTTGCAAGCACGGGGAAAGGGGGGTTGGCAGGGGCGGAAGCCGGGGGGGGCGGAGAAGATGTGACGCGGGCTTAGGGGGGGGGGCCGGGGGAGGGTAGGGGAGGGGGCGGGGCGGCGACTGGGGTCCCGACGACTCCGCTATGACGGGCTGGAGTAGGCTGGAAGGGTCGGATGTGGGGAACTTTGCTGGAGGGTGGGCCGTGGGCGGGTGGAAGAGTGAGGAGGCGTTGGGGAGCACGTGCAAAAGAGGGCAGGGTAAAACAACGGAGCGGGGAGTGGCGGCTGGGCCGCCAACGTCGTCGGAAGCAGGGAGGGTATGCAACTTGGGCGGATCTTTCGTAGCGGGAAGGGAGGGGCGCGGAGGGGAGGGGGGACCCCCGCGCCAGGGACGGTTAAAGGCCGGAGGGTGCGGTGGGGGACGTCAGGCAGCGGGGGGCGGGCCCGGGGGGACCGCGGGAGGTGCGGGGGGGGGGAATACGGATATTCAGGGGGTGGCGCGGGCAGGCAAGACGAGAGTAGGGGGGGAGGAGGGTCGGAGGGTGGGGGGATACGGGGCAGGTGCCCGGTCGGGACGGACGAGGCGGCGTGGGGTATAGGAGGGGACCACGGGTAGGGGGGGGAGGGGGGCGGGGGGGAGGGGGGGGCGGCCGGGCGGGCAAACAAGGGGGTAATGATGAGGGCGGCGGGGGTCGGACGGGGGCGGGGGGGATAGGGGGTAACCAAACATATCTTCACAGGGCGGAGCTGGGGGATGCATTACCCGGGGGGGGCTTGGACGCAGGCGAGAGGGACGTCTAGTAAGACAGCCGAGGAGGGCTAGTCCCTGTCGGGCGGTACGGCTGCGGGGAGAGAGGTCCGGTGTAACCGATGAGAGGGGGCGTGCGGCTGGGGGACGGGCGTAAGGTATCCGAGGTGTGGGGGGCGGGGCGGAGGTGGATGGAGGGGGCGGGGGGTGGGCCATGTGGGCCGGAGGGGGGGGGGGGCTGGGGTCCGCCGGGGGAGCTGGGGGCGGGTGGCGTGCCTAATGGATGGGGGTGGTGGATAAGGGGAGTGAAATAGCGGGCGACGCGGATGCGGTTGGGCCAGGCAGGGGGGGCAGGATGGGAGGGAGGCGAAGTTGGGATAAAAGGTATCAGGCAATGGCGGGGAGTGGCTGGGGGGGGGCGAGCGGGGGGGCCCTGGAGGCGGGGGTCACGCCAAGGGGAAGGAGGCGTAGGCTGAGAACCGAGGGAACCGGCGGATTGGGGGGGGGGCCATCCATGCGCGCAGGCGAACGCCTCTGGGGAGCGCATCGGGTACAAAGGGGGCGCAGTGGCCGGAGAGGGCGCGGCGGCGTGGCAGGTGGGCGGGGGGGGTGGGGGAGTTGGAGGCGGGGGGGGGGGTAGAGCGGAGGACGGAGAGGCCGCGGCGGGAGGTCGGGGAGGTGGGAGTGCGGGGGGGGGGTGGGGGGGGGAAAGAGAGGGACCCAGGCGGCAGCTGCGGGACTTGGGGCCAAGGGGTCAGGGTACGAAGGCAGTGAGTCTGGGGAAGGAGCATAGGAGGGGGGGGCTAGTGGCGGGCGGGGGGGGAGGGCAGCGGAGGAGATGGCGGGTCAGGGGGGGGGAGGGCACGGTGGTGGGAAGGGGAGATGCTGGTGAAGCAGGCGGCAGCGGGGGGGAGAGGGGTGCGGGGGGAAGGGTCAGGTGGAGGGGTGTAACACACCGAAAAAGAGGGTAGACGGAACGCCGGTGTGGGGGCGTGTGGGAAGGCAATGTGGGGGTACTAGCGTGGGATGGAGGAGGTGGGGGAAGGGGGTGGGTGGCGGGGGTGGACTCGGGGAGCAAGCCTCAACCACGAGTGGCCGTCCGGAGGGGCACGGAGGGTGCTAAGGAGTATGGGAGGTGTGGGGGGGAGATAGTGACCCGGGGGTAAGAAGACTGGAGCGGCGGCGGGGGCAGTGCGGATGGCGCGGGCGCTGCGAGGGGCGTGTGAGAGATGGAAGGCCGTGAGCTCGGGGGGGAAGGCGAACGCAGGGGGTTGCGATGACCAAGTGACCCGAGAAGATCGGAGACGGGGGGAATGGCAGGAGGCAGTGGGATTAATGCGAGATGGGGGAGAGGGGAGGTTGTGGGCGGGGGGGAATTTTTTTTTTTGCTGGGCGAGGAGGGGGGTCGCGGCATCTGGGAAGGTGCGGAGGAGGGATGAGGGGGGGCGGGGTAGGGGGGAGGACGGGGGGTGTGCACCGTGTGTGTTGTGTGTGTTTTTTTGGTTTTTTTATTTTTTGACTTTAGGTTTCTCAATGCGTTTTTTACCTTTTATTTTTTTCTACCCTTTTTTCTTGCTTCTTTCAACGAGTTTGGGAGGCGCAATCATCCATGAATAGCCTGTCTGGAGTGCTCCTATTATTGGTGTGCGCTTTGCATCCTTAAAGTGCAAAGTGTTGCTGCAGAACCACCAACCATTTGATGACCCATTGTCTCTTGATAACGAGGAATTCGAGGTGTTTTTGCATCACTATAATTGGCAGCTGCATCAGCAAGGATGGGCGCATAGAAGCTGGAGTCAGTTCACATATCGTGGAAGCCATAACTGCTTTCGTGAACCTGCGACATCCTAAGCGACAGAAGAGAGCTTCTCTCTGTCTGAAAGGTCGTATTTACAAAGCCAGAGTGTTGGCCGTCCTGCTGTATAGGAGTGAGACTTGGTCAATTCGGTCTGCATATCTGAAGCGCCTTAAAGTCTTTGATCATCGCTGCCTGCGGAGCATTACTGGTGTCGGGTGACACCAGCGTGCCCGCAACGATGATGTGCGTAGGCGTGTACTAAGCAATGATAACTAAGATAGTTCACTAGAACAACAGCGAGCACTGAATGACTAACGTTGACATGAGTACATGCTACTTGTGATGGGATTATACAAGCAGAAGAACGTTACGGACTTCCATGACGAAGCAAGCAGCTAGCTTACAGTAAGTGAACGAAAAAGATGATTGGACACCTACGCTTCTTAGCCTATACGCTTATTGGTTCGTGTTTGGTAGCGCTAAAAAGAGAGTTTGTTTGATTGATTCAAAGGAAGAATCTCATGCAAGCAGCAAAGTCTGTAGTTATGGAAATGACCTCCTTATTTACATCTAGGCTCCTATAACCTAATCTTTGTCATTTTCGCATGGCTTGGTGTGTCGAATAAACCGTTTGTCTCTGAAGAGCCGATTTTTGCAACACCGCATACGCCCTGACACTGCTTAACTAAATGGCCTTGTTTATTCTACAAGATGTAGGGCAGCGCAAGGCCCGAGGTGTACTAGTTGTCTTGACAGCCGGAGATAACTCACTGATGACCAGTTTGGTGACGCTGGTCCGTCTCGCCATCCTGGCCGGAGTTCATGTGACCCGCCTTGTGCTTGGTTCGAGACTTTACAGGCCACCGCTTGCAGCTGGCACCAGTGGCCCATCTGCTGCTGTCTCATAGCCAAACCGCTTGTTTAACTTTTGTTTGGAGCTGCTGTATCTGCGTTGAAATGGCTGATTATGGCGCAAGGCAGAGAACGCCACAAGGAAGCTGCCTGGCGGATGCTGACTTATGTTTGTGCCGTAGTCATTTGCTTGTGACGGTAGGTTGTTACCACCAGGAGTAGTTGCCATGACCCTGCTTTTTGTTTAGGGCACTAAGTTTTTATTGTAAGTTCCCTTTTCCCCCTTTACTATTGTTTCTTTTATAGCTCATCATGTTCGTATGGCAGCGGAGCATCAGTTTAAATGGTTGATGTGCCTCTGTTTTTGATTGATACAGTCTTCCACACTATTATTTACGTAACGTAATAGAACACATAATGCCAACAAATTTTATCTGCCGATAGCGTGTACACTCTATACCATCCACACAAACGTACCTCGCACATTCGTAGACATTCGTTGTAAGGCTGATCGGATGCACAAGCCTGTTCGCACTGTCAGCAGGATAGAAGTGTAGCAAAAGTTTAAGTATGATGCAGAATTTGTAGAATATATATATATGTATGTATAACGCTATTGTTGAGGAGATATTTTGTACTAAATGTGCATGTGATTCAAGCCGAATAATGGTGTTCATACGCATGAATCAGTCAGAACATAAAATTGATCCCATTTAACTTTCTCAACTACATCAAAAGCACACGGAGTTTAGGAACCACATTATTTCATGCAAGCAAATATTCTACGTAGCATATTTGTCGTATTCCCTTCTACCCCAAACTAACTGCAACACTTTTTTTAACCCAAAAGTAGATAGTGATCGAAAGTAGAAAATGTTAATGCACACATTTCAGGCAGTAAGTGATAAACTCATCCTTTCGATCGGATATGAAAAGTCCTTATCAATTTTCCTAAAATTAAGATGGGATTTTGCTCGAAATACCACAGTTAATCTTCCGCAAAATGCAGGGATGCAACGTACACCATGCTAAGGTTTGTGAACCCCCAACGAATTGTGCAATAAGATAGAAAGCTGTAAGCTGATGCGATTTCCTCTTCAAGAGAATCCAGTGCTTAATTTGGATTGGACAATCGTCTAGAATCCATATATTTTTAAGGCAAATTTTGATAAAAGAGAGGCTCTAGAACAATGTACTTTTGCATTTATTGTTTAAAATAACCGATGTTGCGTTTCTAATTGAATTTAAAGGAGGTGCGTACTTCCTTAGAGCTTAGGCTGGGCTGGTAACGCGAAACATGGAAAAATCTTGTTGAGTAAAATACATAACCTTTACCTTACTACCAAATAAATTTAGCCATAAATTGTGTTAGCATAAAGAGAAACCAATAAGCATCGCTGCAACAATAACCTTACCTGTTGAAGCGTAAATCAGATAATGTTTGATCAGAGAAATCCATTTGCTCGCACTATGAAAAATACTGTCGAACCTTAGTTAAATGAAAGACTATGCTAAATAAATGAATGATTATGACAAATAAACCTCTGTTTTTGCACCTTTAACTTTTTGCTGATCAACATCTAATATACATATATAAATGACAAACAGCGGATTGCGACGTATAGTCTATCGGAAATAAAAAAATAATGTAGTTATTTAATTACTTGTTTTGGCAATAATGATCTTGCAAAAGTAAAAAAAATCTGTCAACAGCGTGAGCTCACTTCCTCATAAAACAGAAATCCCGGTGAGAGCCATATGCATTCAGATTGGAGTTGAGTGGGAAATGCTTGAATTTTCGCCAATACATCCTCTATCTTCAAAGAACGTAAAGAATGGCGGCAAATATTGTTTTGCAAATGATTTCAGTGAGCGTCGCACATAATGCAAAAGAGTAAAACGAAACAAAATGTATTTAGGTGGCCGTTGTTGACCCCGGTGGATGGAAAATCAAATACATAGCATTAACCTATCAAATTAGGTTGGTGTGAAATCAATATGGGATCTTCGATAGTGACCCGAAGATATACCATAAAATATGTCCATGATTTATATTAGGTGATTTAATTATTAAGCTTTAAATGCAACCGTCAATCTATACATTGTCTGGAATTGAAGAGCAACAGTCTACCTTGTCGCAATAAACTTCCCCTAAACGACATTCATTAAACATTTGCCTTTGATGCCATGAATAAACTAATAGGAAAACCGCCGCTGAGCTTGGCTGCTCTCCAAATTATCAAGCATATCCATCCAGTTGTATGTATATACTTACGATCCCTATCTATGAATTCTAGATGCTCCATGCAAAGTTGCGTTCGAATTGAACACTTTCTTTCTGGCGATGAAGTCAGCGTTTTCTTCCCCTCGTCTCCATACACACAGAATAACTTTGCACAACCATCACAGGTTGTGAAATCGGTGTGCTAGCATGTTGCAACCATCAGGGTTTGGTGCATGATATAATGGTGTTAAGCGGTTCACTTCCTCTTCATGAACCAGAAATAAAAACCTGAAAAGTTCAATTGTACCTCCAGTGTTTCCACCTGCTCCAACACGTTGCAGCACGTTACAACACCCGTTACACGTTACTAATGAATGCGACTTAGGTACAATCGTGCAACCGATTCTTGGAAATTCGCTCGAATCTTCGAAAGCAGCAAATGTGGCGAACTTGAATTGGAACTTTGGAGGCGCGCTCTCGGCACCTTTGAGTAATGGCTAGTACCACTGTTGATGAACTCCTATGTTCGCCCTCACACTGAATATGCAATTCAGGCCTGGTGTCCAAGGTTAAAACATGACATTCGCCTATTGGAACAACCCAAAGTAGGGCCACAAAGGCAACGCGTGGACTATCCGGTCTAAGTTACGAGTTGCGTCATCGAGTATCGGTGTGTTTCCATTAGAATACCGACGGCTTCGCGGAGACCTTACGTACCGCATAATAACTGAAAGCGAGCATCCATGTACATCATTGTTGACTCTAGCCCCTTACAAACAAAGCCGAGGCAACCACTTGAATCTAATGAGGCAACAATCCCGTCTTAATTGTAGAAAGTATTTTTGCTCACTTAGAATCTGTTCTCACTGGAATGCATTAACCAAATACGTTGTTAACGCACCAGACTTGAATACATTCGAAAGACTCCTAGATTTGCATCTTAGTGATGAACGCTACACAACAATTTGCCTAAGTGCAATGGTTTAATCACTGATACTTCAGTTCCACGTTTGAACATTTTGATTTCAATTTTCTTTTGCATATCCATCCTGTCGGTCTTGTAAAGTTATGCTTTTTATCCCAGCATACATTATTGAACTATTGAACTATGTTCATTGCTTAAATGTTTTAGGTTTCATAAACTATAGCACTGTTGAACAGACGGAGCTATTGAAGAAGTTAACCTTCAGAACAAGAGTGAAAAAGCTCCGGTGTCCTAAGTGACGAAGGTACTTAGAGTTTTCCGCACGCGGTTCATTACTTAATGTACATTCACATGCCTGATAAATTGCGCAGTGGCTTAGATGTTCGAGGTAAATCTAGTTCATCACCACTAAAGTCAAACATTAAACAATCCCTGCCAATCTTAAAATAAGACTTCGCATCTGAGGGGTGCAAAGGAAAACCCGAAACCGCTAACGGCCAGTGTTAATCTACTTAACGTTGGCGTCCAATATGTGATTTGTCATCGATAAGATCGATATCGTTGTCGTAATCTGTCACGAAGATAATCACCCGAAAACACATCCAGAAATCAATCCTGTCTAACATATGCGCGTTTTTATTACTTCAGCTAATTAAAAAAACTATTGGTAACAGCAGTCATACCAGTAACAAATTATCGGGGAAATCGAAGAGCAGTGACATTTTGCCACCAAACATCCCAATGACAGAACGAAGTGAGCAACGTTTTTGATAATATTTGCGTTTTTCTAAGATACGCCGATCTGATGAAACACTCCTAAATGACGCCTTAATCCAGGGAATCAAGGACATACTTGAGTTCGAGGAACGTGAATGCTGTATTTGACGATATAAGGGGCTGTGATACAACAATTGACATAGGGTGAAAAAGTGGTTAGTTTAGAGTCGACTCTGCTAAATTTGGTTGGATCCTCACGAATCTGGTTTCATGGGTGCAAGCCATTCTAATGTGAATGAGAGATAAGTAGCTTATACGTAGTGGAGCTTAGTTTGTTACATCTGTGACTGCCACATTGCGAATTTGAGGCGTCCCTGCATATGGGGAAATTCATACAGAACCTCTAATTAATTGCAACAGACTTAAACCCCTAGAATTTCAACGATTTTGCGTGTAAGTTATCTACAACAGCTAATTTCCTTAAGGGAAATGAAATGACGAGCCTGTTCCTCTGCCTTCTAAACTTCACCAATCTGATCCAACTTTCGACTTTTGCGTGAGAAGACGGACCCCCAAGAAGAGTCCATGGAAAAGAGCCGTTGCTCGCAGACGGCTAATCTCTTAGATCCAACTAAATAATTTTTTCTTCCAATCACTCAGTAAAAATCCTGAAGCGTTTGCCAAGTTGTCCTTGACTGACTACCATTTTTGCTTATCCGTTCGCTAAAACCAAGCCTTCTACTGTTAATTGTTCGCATCGTATAAAACAACTTCCCAAGGGTACCAAGAGCAAGTGTTGTTTGCGTCTCCTACGCACAAGGGGAAAACCAAGCTTTGTTGTCTCTGTTTACGTTAGCACGGAAATTCCCGGGAGATTATTGCAAGTCCGCTGTGCTTATTTCCATTTGGAATCTATCAACAACAGTCCGAAATTCCTAAAGATTAAGTAGGTAAACAGATTACTAAATCTAGACATATCTGTTACTAATAACGCCTGGCAGACTTACACCAATTGTCGTTTAACTGTATACGGAGAAAAAGTGTTCAAGTCGATTGCAGGTATGCTTCGATACACAAACCATAAACCTGGTTTAGTCAGTCGATGGGTGCCTATACTCCCACAACCTCGTCATGTTCGTTAAATCGCAGCCGGGGATCAACACTTATGTTTGTGTGGTTGCAATCCAAGCTTCTCTTCTAATCAAACCGTAGCTTTCCGCGCAAACACCTTAGTACTAACTGATGAACGTTCATTGTTCTCATTACGGGAGCCTACAACATAGCGAAATCTCAGACGCAACCTATTATTTGGCTTTTTTAGGTTGCTAGATAGCATGTGGCAACCGCGCTTCTGCTGTGAGAATGGAGCTCGTTACTTTGTTGATAAAAGTATCCTTCACACTCTATCTCTACAATTTTAGGGCTTAGTCATCTATTAAAACTAAAACCTATTCGCCTCGCATGATTTCGTAGCGTTGAACGTGCCAGGCAATATGACCCCACATATTCAACTAGTGGCTGGAAACTATTCGATCAGAGCAGCTTCCGATCGGGATATCAGAGCAATACCTATCCCCCAATTTGACCGGCATTTGAATTGGCATTACCTCTGTGTAAATGAAGTATACATGTGTAACCAGTTTAAGCTGAAGAAGATCGTAACATGAGCGCAAAGTTCGTTGGCGATCTGCTACGCCCAGAGATCTAAACAAATCATCCTTAGCTTTTTTGCTGAATTTTGAGAAAGTGTGAACATGGAGATATGTCAAGCTTAGTGAAGACTAGCTGCTTCTAATAGCATTGAGATTGTCCGCATCATCAGGTATGATTTATTGAGAGGCCAGAAGTTCTGCGATTGCGTATTTGCCGAAATTGGGGAATACAAGATTATTAATATATTAATATAGGAAACGGGCACTGATTGGGTGGTAGAATATAGAGAGTATAATATTGAGACTGGATTAAAGGCGATAGTCATTAAAATCAGTAAGAAATTGATTGTGCTTGAGAATCAGCACACTCAATCCTTTTGTTCCTAATTCTTTGGCAATAGACAATGGACTAATTTAGTAAAAATTATTTTGCTTGGTGCAACTTGCCACTAATGCAAGTGCATATAATACAAAACAAACACTCGATTTACGCTTTGCTGTACCAGTTAGAATTAATAAATGTCTGTTGTTGTACCTTTTGGTAGAAGCCAAGTCAGAAAGTATTTTTAAGTTTTAAGTGTTATTAGTTTGCTGATTTTAATATTTCAGTGGTCACCGTTTGGCGTAGCTGTAAAATCCTAGAAAATGCAATCCATGTATGGGCTGATTTCTGTAAAGCAAGTGGGATGAATGGCGACAGTTGAATTTCATAAGGGAAACAAGCCAGATTTGCCAATTTCTTTCCATTCTTATTTGGGTTCACGCTTAAAAGACTACAAATCTCATTCGTAGAGAGTGGTACAGGAAAATTATTAATATTGTATATAGCGCAATGTTGGTAGAGTAAATATGTATCTACCCTTAACAAAGAATCGTAATTACCGTGCCAAGCCGCACTGAAAAGTTCATCGATAGCATAAAATGGTGTAAGTACGCCTTGCATCTGTAGCTGCTGTTGTATGTCAACTTACCACAATTGTCTAACCGGTGTGCAATTCAGTCAGAATCCTCTAATATAATTAGGTATTGTAAATAATGATGCAGTACAAGTTGAAGTGATCTCTTAAGTTGCTTTAGAAGGGTTCAGGTGTAAATACCTCACCTGCGGCACTAGTCAATTCTAGTATTGTAGGTCAACCCAAGGTCGAATGGACAACATTTTATCTTATATACCAGCGCAAAACAAGTGTTTATGAAAAGGACTGAAAGAGGAAAAGCATCTGCAAGTAGGAATTGTCATAATTCGTCAAAATCAGTGACGGACCTGTGGGCAGTATCAAAATCACAGGCTAATTTGTATTTTGGCACACACCAGATAATTTCTTCGTGTATCATTAAAACGCACTGCCTAAATTTTGCCTGTGTGCAATGCGCTTTTAATGTACTAAATTACTTTCATTATACATTTAATTTCCTCAAATTTCACCCACCACCTTTTTATTTGAAATATGTGTACCTTTTTGTGATCGCTCTGTTGCAAGTGCTCGGATTATTTTCGCTAAACCAACTGCAGTTATTCCACACGACAATAACATATAATATTAATTTTCTGTTAGAATAACGCAAAGCCACAACGCCGGGCATCTAAGAACGTCATTGGAATAGCCACAACGCCATGCATCTGAGAACGTCATTAGAATGCGCAATCGGTCCTACCAGGAGAGGCTGCGACGACTAGTATTGTTCAGTGGAAGCTATCGCAGGCTACGAGGCGACCTGATTATGACATACTTGATTCTGCGAGATCCACATCATGTGTGCCGCCCTTTACCGCAACTCAGCAGCAATACAAAACTGAGGTGCCACTCATTAAAACTCGCAGAACAATACAGTCGTCTGGAGTGGCGCAGAAATTTTTTTTCTATCCGTGTCTGTCACCCATGGAATGCTCTCCCAGAATCGGTAGTTTCTGCACCGACACTAAAAATATTTAAAAGACGGTTGGCGATACACTCATCCACTTACAATTTGTAGCTTAACAATATGTCTCCATCCTACACCTGGAGTTTACCCTGGAATTATTTGTTGTTAACTGTGGGTGTTGTGAATCTAAGTGGATCGCAGGACTGCAGCAAAGCAAAAGATAAGTCCTTATTTTCGAATTTAAAGTATTAACTATTTTACTATCCTCTTCATCATAATTGTTATGTGGATATCCCCACCAACTATCCAACGGGGCTTGTAAAGCAACGCTTCTTAACCCGTATAAATTCATTGTTCATGGTTCACTGTTCAATATATATTATTCGCTTTCCCTCGTCGAATGATTTTAGCTAGTAAATTGCGGTTATACGTTACCATATTGGCGAAATAATGAGTTTGGATTACAAGCACAGATGATCCGAGTTGGTGTTTCATTAGAATCTAAAGTTGTCATTTCTCCTCAACAATAGTGTCTGCTACGAAATCTGATGTCGCCAAAATGTATTGACAGCGCCAATCGCAGGTGAGATAATTCCCAGTTTCATTCTTATCTAAAGCCATATTTTGGTCGTATTTTATACGAAGCTGGGTTAACAATTTTCGTTAGAGAAAACAAACTAAAAACGAGCTCAGTTCATATGCATGAAATGTGACTGTTATCATATACCCTTTCAGTTCATGAAACATCTAACTTACTGAGATATCTGTCAAGGATTTCCGCCGCAAACGTTCCACGCATTCTCTCAAACAATGTGAACCGCAGACGGCCGCAGCGAGTACTCTGCTTTCTGATGGATGTATTAAATGTGACGTTTGAATTGAAGTTGTGTCATCTCTCCTAAATATGGGGTGAGGTATAAATCCGAATATCCTATAGATGAAAACATGAGTTCTGATATCCTCCCAACTGGACCACAGCTTATGTTGTTGATAATGAGCAATAGTGTTTGTATTGCTGTAGCACAATCCCGACGAAACATTTTCGTATTTCATGTCTGCCGGGTCATATAAGCACTGTATGAATTTGGGCAGATATTATGCGCTTGTACAGAAACAACTGCCCTTGTCTCGTATCCCATTGGTGTTCGTCTGTCAACAGCTCAGTCAAGCAAACGCTCGCATTCTACCTACTGAAATACGAGCCAACGACTACACACTAGTCAGTGAGGCATTAATTTATAAAAGCACATCAGGAATCCTAGTGCAAATACCCGCATAAATGATTATGTTTGAAATGGGGGGTAAGGATTTAAAACTATGTGCATTGGAGCTGCATACTACACCATGTTTGTAACACGGAAGCAAAAGATTACAAAGGGACTAAGAAAGAATAGCTTGATTCGAGCGAATTCACTTTTAATGCATAATTGATACTAATACATAAATTGATCGTTTATGAGATTGGCTGTACAGATCACTGGTATTTCGTTTAATAAGGTGTGCAAACTGTCTGAATAACGTCCTATTTGGTTCACTAAACCAATTCGCTTTTGCCTATCCTTGAACCAAGTTATGTCTTGTTTCGCCATTCTAGCTTGGCATTTCCTTTCTCTTTTTTATTTTCCCCACTGCACTGGTGGTACGCTGGCTTTCGCTTTGCTCTCTGTAATGTGTTAAACAAGACAGTACTTTGAATATAATTGTAAAATATCTGCCATTATTAGTTGTTGCATGAAAATAAAACTCTCCCCTAATAACCACGTAGTACGTATTACGAGACACCCCAACTCTAAGAATTTCCAAAAGCCAAGACATCTGCTCGTTGTGCTGAATTCCACTACTGAAGTAGAATCAGTACTACTGTCGACAGGTAGTCGCAGAAATGCACACTACTATATCCGTATCTTTCCAGACATCCCATAGGGCAAGCGTTATAGAGTTAACCACAAATTAGAGGACTACCGGAAGGAAACTTCCACAAGCACAATATTTCTTCACTGGTTTCCTTCAACGGAAGCAAGTGATAAGCATGAAATAATAACGCATGATAAACAGCAGTGGTGTTACATTCGTGAAACACTCTGCTTGTATGATGTGTTAGCGAAATCCGTGTCACGACTGTGTACCTCACCGCCCTACAAAGGAATTGGCCCGAGAGTGTTGAAGATGGTCCTTCAGTCAACACATATGGTAACACGGCTGCTAAATATCTGGTACATATTACTTTGCAGGCTAGCACCTGTGCTTCGGCTGAAGACCGTCATCGATATACCTCCTAAAAATGATATGTTAATTACAGCAACAAAAGCGATGAGATCTATAAAAGAACAATGCACCAGTAGTGTGTCAAAAGAGCCCATATAACCAGTCGAAGATGATACTGACAGACAACTTACACAGTACGTAGAAGATTAGACACGGAACTAACTACGCGGATGATGAATAATACGTTAAATCCTTTACCAAATATACATCGAAAAACGATTAGTCGCCAGCTACTCACTGGTCTGCGAAACTTGATGTAGGTATTGCACAACCTCAAAACATTGCTTAAACCTGAGAAACGTTCGTGTATGTAAACTAACACCCAAAGGCTCCTCAGTAAACTTAGCGAACTTCGGCTGCGTCTGGTTGCGAATGCATGGGAGCTAATTTCAATTACCGAAATTTGGTCACAACAAGAGGTGACTGATGCTTTGGTTGAGATAGGCGGAATTGCACTCATCCGGAACGACCGCCCCAGCAGAGGAGGTGGGGTCCTACTCTCCTATCGCAGCGAACTATAATGTGCAATGGTTGATGATCGGGAAGCTCACGTTACCGACTAACTCTGTTCCGTCTCCAACTAATACACAACGACGCATGTCTCGTAGCTGTCGATTACCGCCCTCCAACGTCCACTCCGGAAATAGATCCCAGTTTTTGATAGGTGGCCTGAACATGGTAACACGCCATATGTGCAGATTGACCAAAAGCTTCCTGCGTCTGATCGGTGCGCTTGAATGTGGACTCGTTCCCCAGAGACCAACTAGAATTCACGTTTGAATCCTCGTTTCTACCGACACTGTCGTCAAAGTGGCTCGATAGTTTTAATCCACTAGATGGGAAAGTTGGAACGGGTAGTGGAAAACATCGAAAAAATTAGGCACATAGGGAAATCACCAAAGAGAACAGACGAATGGCAGCAAAGTTTAGGTTTCCTAGGATCACGGATTTTCCCATTTGTGTGAATGTGACCTTGAACGAACCTGCATGCTAATCGCTGATCACAGCACATTTTGTTTTGCCGCGCTTTCTCCGTTGCATTTTCTCACACAAACCTGTATACACACATCCTCGGCCCAGCTG